TTTTTTAGTTGTAGATGGACACAATATCTTTATTTTTATGTGGTGCTGAGGATCAAACCAAGTGCCTCACATGTGTGAGGCAAGCATTCTACCACTGAGCTATAGCCTCAGTCCCCCCCAATTTTTAAAATTTATATAACAAAATTAACCATTTAAGAAAAAAAGTAACCATCTTAAAGTAATAATTCAGAAGCATTTAGTATATTCACAGTATTGTACAAGTATCACCTCTAGTTACACAATATGTAATCACTCTAAAAGAGAACCCTAARCCCACTAAATAGTTATCACCTTTATTCCTCCCCTGGCCAGTCCCTTAAGTCTATGAATCTTCTTTTTGTCTATATGGATTTATCTTGGTCGGATATTTAATATAAATGGATACATATAGTATATGACTTTTTTGTCTGGCTTCTTTCATCTAGCATGTTTTCAAGGTTAATTCACATGTCTTAGTGTTTATTCCTTTTTGTGGTCAAATAATATTTTTACACATATGTATATCACTGTTGTTTATCCACTTATCCATTGATGGACGATATTTTTTGTACCTTTTGGCTCTTGTGAACAATGCTCCTATGAACATGTATGTACAGGTATTTGTATACTTATTTTCAGTTCCTTTGAGTATATACTTAGCARTCAAATTGATGGAGCATATGGAAATTCTGTGTTTTAACTTTTTGAGAAATTGTCATGATGTTTTCCATAGTGACTAAAACATTTTTATATTTCCATCAGCAATATATAACCTCTAATTTCTACACAGCTTATCAACACTTGTTATTTTTCATTTTTTATTATTTATCATTATTTATTTATTTAAGAGATAGGGTCTTGTTATGTTGCCCAGGCTAGTCCTTATCTTCTGTSCTCAAGTGATCTTCCTTTCTTAACTCTGGGGTTGCTGGAATTATAGGCATGTACCCATGTGCCTGGCTGGATTTTTTAAAAAACAGTAGCTATCCTAATGAATGTGAAGTAGTATCTTATTGTGGTTTTGGTGTGCATTTCCCTAAATATCTAATCATTTTGTGTCTTTTAATGTACTGTGATTGTTTGCAATTTCTTTGGAGAAATGTCTAAGTTTGCTAGTGTTTTAATTGTGCTTTTCATTTTGTTGTTGAGCTRTAAGAACAACATATATCATATCAGACATATGATTATTTTCTCTCACTCTTTTAAGCTATYTTTTCACTTTCTTGATAGTGTCCTTTTGATGCGCAAAATATTTTAATTTTGATGAAATCCAATTTACTTTTTTTTCTTTTATTGCTCATGATTTTGGTGTCATATCTAAGACTCCATTGCCAAATCCAGGGTTGTGAAGATTTATCTCTTGGTTTTTCATCTAAGAATTTTATGGTCTTTTATTTGGGTTGTTGACCCATTTTGAATTTATTTTTCTTCATGGTGTGAACACAGGGTCCCTGTGTTGCATATAGGTATCCAGTTGGACCAGTACCATTTGTCTTATAGATTGTAATGATTTTGTGGGTTGATTGATTATTATTATTATTATTATTATTATTATTGTGGTAATGGGGATTAAACCTGAGAGCACTTTACCACTGAGCTACATCCACAGCCCTTTTAATTTAAATTTTTTTTCTCTTTTTTTTATTGGTTCTTTTTAGGTATATATGATAGAATACATTTTTACATAATTATACAAGCATGGAATATATCTTATTCTAAATAAGTCTTTAGTATCTCTCTTTCTGCTTCTCTTTCCCCTCTCCCTTCTCTCTATTGATCTTCCTGCCATTTACCCATAGTTATTTTTTAAAATTAATTTCTTGGGCTGGGATGTGGCTCAAGCGGTAACACGCTCGCCTGGCATGCGCGGGGCGCTGGGTTTGATCCTCAGCACCACATAAAATAAAATAAAGATGTTGTGTCCACCGAAAACTAAAATATAAATATTAAAAAATTATTTATCTCTCTCTCTCTTAAAAAAATTATTAAAAAATAAAATAAAATAAATTTCTTGTACATGTATATGATGATTGATTCATGTGGTATATTTATATATGTACATAGGAAAGTTATGTCAGATTAATTCCACTGTCTTTCCTTTTCCTGTCCCCCCTTTAATCCACTGAACTTCTGTTCCTCTCCCCACCTTATTGTGGGTTAGCTTCCACATATCAGGGAAAACATTTGACCTTTGGTTTTTTTGGATTGGCTTATTTTACTTAGCATGATAGTTTCCAGATGTATCCATTTACCAGCAAATGTCATAAAGTCATTCTTCTTTAAGGCTGAATAATACTCAATTGTGCATATATATACCACAATATTTTTATYCATTCATCTGTTCAAGGGCACTCTCGTTAGCTTAGATTTTTAAAAAATTTTATTCTGAAGCTGGGTGTGATGGCGCAKGCCTGTAATCCTAGCAACTTGGTAGGCTGTGGCAGGAGAATTGCAAGTTTGAGGCCAATTTAGGCCTCAGCAATTTAGGCCCTAAGCAACTTAGTGAGACCCTGTYTCATCAGTAAGTAAGTAAGTAARTAAATAAATAAATAAAAACAGGGTTGGGGATGTAGCTCAGTGGCAAAGTGACCCTCAATACCAAATAAATAAGTAAATTTTATTTGGAGACGAAGTGTTGCTAAGTTGTCCAGACTGGCCTTGACCTTGCAATCCTCTTGCCTCAGCCAGCCCCACCRAGTCACTGGGATTACAGATGTGTGCCATTGWACCTGGTTTATAAAGATTCTAGAATAAAGGTATCAGGTGTTTTCTTCATTGYGATTAGTCTGGGAGGACTTAATGTAGTTATTAGGAAATGTTATCAATTTTTTAGTCTTTAATTTTTTCTTGAATTGATATAATTGTCTTTTTGATGACTTTTATTAAATGAGGTAACACTGGATCTTAATCAAAATTGAATTAGTGAAAAAAGGCAAATAACTGTTTTTCTTTCAATCTGTATTTTAAAAAATAACCTTCCCATAGATGCTAATCTGAAAAGAAATTCATACCTTTTAAAAAGATTAGTCAAATTTCATTGACCTTGAAAGCATTGTAACATTGGTGAATTTGATTTATTTTTCAGGGTGAAGATGATATAAAATGATGAATCAGTGATTGAAGCCAATATTCTAATTTCCATGGAGGAAGAATAGGCAAGATTTTGCTTCTTGGCTCCACTTACTACCTACTGCTCAGTAGTCATCTCTGTAAATCTGCAGTTTCTACCAAAATGTGGGATTACAGATCTCAGAAGATCTTGCTTTAACTTTAACTTTTAATACTTAGAAATTTTTCAAACATTCAGATCTGTTCTGTACTGCTAMCCATGACATTTAACATGTTAGGATGCTTGAAAACACAAGAGTAGAGAAAAGTGGTTGAAGATTGTATTTTTGCACCTTAACTCCACATTGCTTTATTGGTTAATTTATATTCATGTAATTCACATAATTGTATGTGTATGTGTGTTTAGGTGTCACCTCCTTTCATGTTTCTGATTGCCCTACAGAGAGAAACCAAATGGGCTGATTGCTAACTGTAAGTTCTCAGCCTTTATGGACCTAATATTATTTCTTTTTATTTAYTTGAGTAATGTTTATTTTCTGCATGAACCATGATTTCTCCTGTGAGCCATTCCAGCATAAGCTGTGAATATGTATTAACAAATATATACATTTCTATTTTTATAATCCATAGATATGCCTGTTTTAAATAATGTATATGTTTAAAAAATACATCAAGAAAAGCCTTAAGACAGCCTCTATTTAAAACTTTTGTTGCTGTCTTATCCAAATGTATTTATAAAAGTTTGGTAGGTCCACACTTTGATAATAGTCAAATTTTACTTTTAAGCAGAAGTAACCTTTTAGGCATTTCAGCAGCATACATTATCTTGACAACCTAGAGTATGTATGTATATGTATATGTTTCTATTTTATGTTTATATATGTATGTGGGGAGGACAGGAGTGAATGTTCACACATTTTCTTGTGTACTCAACTAAATCAGAGAATTTTTCTGGAGAAAATAGGATGAGGGCTGGGATGTAGCTCAGTGGTAGAATGCTTGCCTTAGCATGCATGAGGCCCTGGGTTCAGTCCCCAGCACTGGAAAAAAAAAAAAAAAGATGAAGAAATTAGCTGCTGAGATTGAGTTTCTGCCTTGAGATCTGGAAAAAAACAAGGGACAAACTGTTGGTAAATTTAGTGGCTATAGCCRTAAGCAGAATACTTAGTGTCTTCCATGACATGAGTTTTCTTATGAACATGTTCTGAGCCAGAAAAAAACATACTATGGTCATGCATCTGGTTCAGTCTGTGCCTCCACTGGTATGAAGCACTGGAGCTGGAGTTGTACACAGCAGTGCAGCTAGTGTGTCCAGCAGGAAGTATGYAAGGGCAGAGGAGTTCTTTGCAGTTCCCATCATTGCTACATCTACTTTCTTCTTGACCACCAAATGGAGTGATGGTTGACGAATCAAACTTATAATATGATGTACTCAGACCTAGGAATCTTTTGATTTCCCCAGTGAGACACTTTATCACTCTTTCTCATAGTTAAATCAGTTATATTCTCTATTGCTGCTAAATCATAATTGATCTTCACTAATGAAACAAATGTTTGGCTTCCAAACAAATACTTTTGTTATAGACTAGAAGTTTAATAGGAGGCATCATCATCTAGATTGTTTTTGAGGTGGGACATAAGTTGGACCACACAGTTTAAGATTAAAAGATACTTTTTTCCCTTTCTGTCAGGCCATGCATTTGAATAAAGTGCTTCCCCTTAGCCTGAGTTCCTGAAGACCTCTTGTGCTTAGGTTGCAAACTCAGATCTCTTGGCTAGTTGTGTGTAACTACTGATAAATCACTAGCCCAGCTTGTTGGGTCTCTGTATTTTGGAAGATAGGGACTTTAAGAGTATTTAATGTCTTCTTAGGACCATAAATGTGGGTAGATTTAAGGATTGTTGATATTTAGACCTTCAGAATCTGTGTTTTAAGTGTAATGTTCAGATTGTAATGGGTATGTTTTTGCCAGCTGGTCTACTCAATTGTATATTTTTATTTTGCAGAACAACCCAAGACTGACTTTATGTTGCTTTGTTCAGTACCTTCTGAATTCCCCAAAAGAGTTGTTTTCAAAGCAAACATTCCAAAATGAATGTGGCTCTTCAATGCAATGTCTCCATTGTGATTGAAGGATTTCTCTCTGGTTATAATTCTAAATGACAGGGTCATTTGCACTTCCTCCCYTCCTCCCTAGTATCTACAAGAGCAGGGACTTTGTCCTCAGGTAGAGGATATATAATTTTGGGTGAAAGTAAATTATAATTTATTTTAGTTTATTTCTGAACCTATCTATTTGGTATCTTGGAGTAGATCAAACTAAGAGAATGTTCCTTGGTCTTGAAAATGACTGTTGTGATTGCTTTGGGCATTGTGCTCGCTGCACACTTTGTCCACTTTGGAGCATGTGAATAAATGTCACTGATTAAAACAGTTAGAGCACTTCCCTCCCCATCCAGTGAAGGGGCAGCATACCTAAATCTCTCCCTACCTGTGATGACAGGGCTGGGAGAGGACAGACAGTGAAGGAACCAGTGAGTACAGGAGAAGGATTGTTCTCCTTGCCCTCTGAGTGGACAGAGTAATGTTTTTCCTTTTCCTTTTTTTCCCCCAAAAGAAAGAAAGGTAAAGGAAAAGATATATTTGTGTATTTAGACCAGGCATATTAAGTCATTATTTTAGCATCAACATTCCATATATTAGGTCAACTGAATGTAATATGGAATGAATCTGACCAGGCCAAATTCTAGGATTTAGTTGAAGTCCTTAAACATTTTTCCTATTTTATTTAAAATATTCCTATTACATCTAAATCAGAATTATCTCAGTGCAGCAAATYCATATAATTGTTTGCCAACTAATACATTACTTAGTGTTACCATTTAGCATTTAATTTTGTCATCTTTGAATTATGATTGATGCGACTAATTATAGAAAGTACAGGTTTAAACTGGAGTTATCTTTAGTTAAAGGCAAATGAAATTTTTAAAATGCTGTATTTCACAAGAAATCAGTTGCTACTATCAGTTACATATTTCATTTTTAAAAGGAGGAAGATTATTTAACCACATGGTATTTGGGGGCATTGAAGGGATTTTTTCTTTCTCTGAGAGCATTGTACAATTATATTTTTATGAGAAATAAAATATCTTCACCAGAGTTTGTCTCAAGTTGTCTATTTCACAGTACTGAACTATGTCTGTGTAAGAGTATGGGGTTTAAATAGAAGAACTGGTCCTAAGTCCATTTTCTGARTCAATTGAAATTATTTAATCTCTCATTCTTTTTCCTCATCTACAAAAAAAGGAGAATAACTTTCACAGAGTAGCTAAGCTAAATACAAGTTAAGAGAAATTGCTTGTTAAGTAGTACAAAACTATATTAAATGTTCATTATTATGCCTGTTTGAGTGTTTTTTTTTAATTTAAAAAATATAGTTCTTTAATAAGTTGGAATCTAAAAATGTAGTGTTGCACACATCATATTTCCCAAGTCTTTAGCTATATTATGTCAGTCCTTGAAATAGTGTAGTTGGATTCTGGATGCTCTTTTTATCAACAGTAGCCTTCTGTTATTAGGCTAATTTTAAGAACTAATATTCCAACTGGCAATATTATACTATCATCTGTATAAAGCAGGTTTGCAGGCTGCTAGATAAGTTGGTCCTCCCCTTCCCATTTCCTTCAGTTTTCTTAGTTACAGGGGTAATGAATCAGAGTTAGAACTGCATGTGTGGTTGTACCGATTGTTCTGTACAAAGGCCCTCAGTTAAGAGGGTAAAGGCCCTAAAATCTAGTTTCCAATCCCTTCAACAAGCTATATGTAGAGAAAGGGGCACTTGTCATCAGTTCATCTAGGCATATATGTGTGAGGGTCTGTCTAGAAGAGGTGGCTTTTGATGACTTGCCCAAAGTAGGTACCTCTCTCTTTTTTTTAATGTGCACAACAATGGTATGTGGCAGCTGGCTTTCCTGGCTTCCCAGAGAATGGCCAGTTTTGTGCATCTTTTCCCAACTCCATGTTCAGTGACATTGGATTGGTGGCTTTTATTCATCTTGTTTGTATGTATATAGTACTGGGGTTTAAACCCAGGGGTCCTATACCACTGAGCTACATTCCAGGCCCTTTTTATTTTTTATTTTGAGACAGGGTCTCGTTAAGTTGCCCCAGCTGGCCTTGAACTTATGATCCTCCTGCCTCAGCCTCTCTGTGGTAGCTGGAATGAAAGGCATATGCCACTGTGCCTGGCTATAAGAAGTGGTATTGAAATAACAAGTAAAAAAAAAGCAAAGTCCTAAATAGTTTAATATGTTCTTAGTTGTATTTTAATGGGGAGATACACACACACACACACACACACACACACACACACACATATATACATATCCAGATTCTTGATTTTATTGACTTTTTGAATTTATAAATCTATGATTTTTTTTTTTTTTTTCAGTGCTGGGGATTGAACTTAGGGCTTCACACAAGCCAGGCATGCACTCTTCTGCTAGGTATATCCCCTCCTCACAAGATGTGTTTTTTTTTAATATTTATTTTTTAGTTGTACACATACCTTTATTTTGTTTATTTATTTTTATGTGGTGCTGAGGATMGAACCCTGGGCCTTGCATGTGCTAGGCSAGCACTCCACCACTGAGTCACAACCCCAGCCCAAGATGTGTTTTTTAAAAACATACTTTACCTCTAGAGAGGGATGCTGGGAAACAACTTTAGGAAAAAGATTATTTTTTACATGTCACTCTGTTGTGGTAGTCAGCTTCTAAAATGGCCCCCACGTTCCATGCCTCCTGGTACTCATGCCCTTGTATAATTCCCTTTTCTTCAGTATAGGCAGGACCTATAACTTGCTTCTGATCCAGAACACAGTACCTGTGATGGGATGTCACTTCCATGACATAAGATAGTGACTTCTGCCTTGCTAGCAGACTCTCTTCAATGGCCTTAARAAGCAAGTTACCATTTTGGACAGACCTCTATGCTAAGACCCGAAGGCGACCTCCAGTCAGGATCAGAGGTCACCAGTCCAAAAGCCCCAGATGAACTGAGTTCTAACAATAAAACAGGCCCGCAAAGCAGATCCAACCTCAACTGAGTCTTCAGGTGAGTCCTGTACCGTGACTGGTACCCGATTGCAGCCTTATGAAGTATCCAATGCAGCTATGCCTGTGTCCAGATTGCTGACCCACAGAAACTCTGAGAGTGTGTGTGCTGTTTTAAGCTGCCAAATTTKGGGATGMTTTGTTATCCAACAATAACATACARCTGTTTCATTTTTCCTTAAATATATCCTTCATGTTTAATTAAGAATAAATTAGGGGCTGGGGCTGTAGCTCAGTGGCAGAGCACTTTCCTGGCATGTATGAGGCACTGGGTTTGATCCTTAGCAACACATGAAAATAAACAAATGCATTCTGGGCTGGGATTGTGGCTTGAGGGTAGAGTACTCGCCTACCAGGCRTGAGRCGATGGGTTCGATYCTCAGCACTACATAAAAATAAAATAAAATATCAGGGGCTAGGGTTGCGGCTCAGTGGTAGAGCACTTGCCTAACGTGTGAGGCACTGGGTTCKATCCTCAGCACCACATAAAAAAAATGAATAAACAAAATAAAGGTATTGTGTCCATCTATAACTAAAAAAATATTWAAAAA